TCACCATGTTGACCAGGATGGTCTCGATCTCTTGACCTCGTGATCCACCCGCCTCGGCCTCCCAAAGTGCTGGGATTACAGGCTTGAGCCACCGCGCCCGGCCAAGTTTCTAATATATCTTATACCATATTTGCAAGATAAAGCTATGCCCATAGTTTAAAATCACTCAAATGACATGTGTAAAGAGAAATGCTTAACTGATTTTCCAAATCATTTTCCTGTAAAGTTGAACTATTTCTTAAATCCTTAACTGTTTTTGTATTACTATATACAGTAACTACCAAGGATTTAAAATACCAGTTATACTCAGTATTAGCAAGGGCATTCTTACGTACCACTGCTAGAAATATAAACTAGTTTACTTTTGTCTACAGGGCAGTTAAGAGTTAATAAGCAATATGTATAATAAACCTTTAAGATGAGAAAAACCTTGAACCTGGAAATTTCGCTTACGAGAATTCATCTTGGTTATGATACTCATCTTAATACAACTATCAACTAAGTTGTTAGTTGCAAAAAAACTTTAGAATAATATGATTACTAATAATAGGAGACTAAAATAAATTATGGCATATCCATGTAATGGAATTCTATGCAGCCCTTAAAAAGGATGGCTAGGTATGGACTCAGTGACTTAAAAAGGTGATCCCGATACAATCTTATCTCTATAATAGCAATTGTTTTAATGTTACATACATATGTCTATGTGTACATACACAAAAAACTTAGAAAAATGGATCTTAACATGGTTTCTGTTAAAGAGAAGTTTTCCTTTTTTCTTCTTTAAATCTTCTAATTTTTATATAATACATTTTTTATAGTTATAACATATATATAATATACACATACATACATATATATGCACCACAGAAGCTTCTTTTCCAGCTGTCCTGCCTCTAGGCATACGGACTTTGAAGCAACCTAGCAGGAAGGGCCCATGCTGGGGGTGGGGGTGGGGGCGGGGATGGGGAATCTGAAGGCCTCATCCCTCCCAAACCTGATCTGCCTAGCTCAGCTGTCCCGTAAGACAGGAGCAAGGGTCCTGCTCACCAGACTGTCCTGGATGCAGGGAGTCTCCACGAGCCTCCGGACTCCGTTCTCCACAGTGACTCCCAGCCAGTTGAGCACTGCCCAGCACCAGAGGTAGTCGTAGCCGCCATGCCAGTAGCTCACAAATGCAAATGTCATCGCCGTGGAAAACAGCGTCCCCAGCAGGCCATGCTGGGACCCACCTACTGGAATGTACACATACCTAGAGAAAGAAGAGGCTGTTAGGAGCCATGAATAGGGCTGCCCTGCAACTCTGCCTGCTCCCTGGCTTTACTCCCCTGTTGTACACTGCTGTTCACATATGCAGATCTGCCCTCACTTCCAGGAGGCCAGATTCCTTGGATTCTCCATCCCTCAAGGAACTGGCAAAAACCCAAGCCTCACCTCTGCAGGGCGTTAGGTTAAATGAACACACAGGCTCAAGGGTTCTCATTACCAGAACAAAATAGCACTTACAAGAGGCAGGGCCAGAAGTCATGAATTTAGAGTTTCTGAAAGGGATGTGCCCAACCCTGGAAACCCAAACACAGAATGGCAGTTAAGCTTCTGACCACATGGGGCCAGCAACCTTCAAGGCAGGTGATACAGTTTGGTTGTGTCCCCATCCAAATCTCATCTTGAACTGTAGCTCCCATAATCCCCACATGTCAAGGGAGGGACCCAGTGGGAGGTAACTGAGTCATGGGGGCAGGATTTTCCTATGCTGTTCTCATGATACTGGGTAAGTCTCATGAGATCTGATGGTTGTATAACAGGCAGTTCCCCTGCACAAGCTCTCTAGCCTGCCACCATGTAAGACATGCCTTTGCTCCTCCTTTGCCTTCTGCTGTGATTGTGAGGCTTCCCCAGCCATGTGGAACTGTGAGTCCATTAAACTGTTTTTTCTTCATAAATTACCCAGTCTTGGGTATTTCTTCATAATGGTATGAAATGGAGTAATACAGCAGGTGTGGATTTGACAGATCAGATTATTAAATTTATGGTAAACCCATTCTTTAAACACAATTGCTAAGACCATGATCCTAAACACGCAGGAGCTGGGTGCTGCAGATGGGTGCCAGAGCTGGTTTCCAACTTTCTAAGCAGGGTTGCCCAGAAGCAGTCGTGAATGCATAGTAAAGAAAAGGGCTCTGTGCTCACAGGGCAGCCAAACTACTGGACAAAATGCATAGCTGTCCCCCTGGGTATGTTCTCCATTGCTGAGACAACTGCCTGAGCCCATGGAGACAGGACTATGTTCTTCAATAGATATTTTCCTGCTTCAGTTGGACAAAACTCACACCTTGAGCTCTTAGGACCTGGAGAGCTAGGAGCACACCGTTCTTACGACAGCCTTTTAAAAAAGCCCATAGGCCTTTGTTTATTGCTGGTTGGTGTTTCTTTGTCCAACCTTCCTCCAGGAGGGAAAAGTAAAAAATCCTTTTTTGAATACACAATATGTTCCAAGTACAACATGACACTTTACATGTACCACTTTGATTCTTTTAAGCACCATACATATGGTTTATACCTACTGCCCCAGCATCTTAAACAATTTAGCATCTGTTTATATATTATTTTAACTTGGGGGAGGAGATCAAACCTATTTTTGAGGAGGAAATAAAATTGTTTTTTGAGAGGAAATTGTTCTAGTCAAAATGTTTTTCGATAGAACTATTTTACTTTTAGAGACAGCATCTCCAAATGTTCCCAAGGCAGGAGTGCAGTAGTGCGATGATAGCTTACCACGACCTCAAACTCCTAAACTCAGACAATCCTCCCACTTCAGCCTCCCAAGTAGCTGGGACTACAGGAATGCACAATGACACCTAGCTAATTTAAAACTTTTTTTGTAGAGATGAAAAATTTGCCCAGGCTAGTTTTGAACTCCTAGTCTCAGTGATCCTCCTGCCTCAGCCTCCCAAAACACAAAGATTACAGTCATGAGTCACCATACCTGGCTTAATAGAACAATTTTATAGGTAGGCAAGGTAAAAATAAAAACAGCTTATCAGGCAATAAAGAAATCTTTTGAAAGACTATATGACTGTAAATTATTTAAAAATGTGCCACTTAACGAAGACTCTCTCCTTGACTAAACTTTAGTCAAGCTCCTCTCAGCATTCTAGGCCTCGATCTTGGTGTCCATCTTTATTGTAGCAAGAATGATGCTAAGTCAGTTTAGAATGAACCCCCTACTTGCAATATCTGATTATGCTCCATTATCTGGTCAAATTCTTCAGCACCTACTCTTGGTGTCTGATCGCCCTGGCTGCCTTCAGGAGGAACCCTGTTAGGTCTGTTTAGCCAGCATCTCCCCATTTTCCAATGTTTCCTCTAAATAATATTCCACTCAATGACCCCCACCTTGCTCCTTGGCTATATCCCCCTTGTCGATGCTGTATTCAGAATTAAGCCCAGTTCTGGTCGGTCGTGGTGGCTTACGCCTGTAATCCCAGCACTCTGAGAGGCTGAGACACAGGTGGATCATCTGAGGTCAGGAGTTCGACAAGAGCCTGGTTAACACTGAAACCCTGTCACAACCCAAAATACAAAAATCAGCTGGGCATGGTGGTGCATGCCTGTAGTCCCAGCTACTCTGGAGGCTGAGGCAGGAGAATCGCTTGAACCTGGGAGGAGGAGGTGGAGGTTGCAGTGAGCTAAGAACACGCCACTGCACTCAGCCTGGGCTATAGAGCAAGACCCCTTCTCAAAAAAAAAAAAAAAAAATTGAGCACAGTTCTATACTGAGGTCTCTTTCCCCTATTACAATAGTTCCTGAATAAAATTTTTCCTGCTTCAACTACTACCTAGCTCTGGTTTTTCTTTAACATCCTCCACTCTCAAATATGTTCCAGTTTCTAGTTTAGATAATAAATTATCTGACCACCTTAGATAATCCCATTTTATGGGTGACAAAACCAAGGCTGAGTTTATTTGCCCAAGGTACACAGCTAGGAAGGAGAAGGACCAAGATCCAAATATGCATCTGTACCTCCAACTTACTACTTCCATTACATCCCTGGGCTAATTTTTAAAGTCCTCTATATTTCACCCCAATCAGGAACCATTAAGCTGGAAGGCATGTGAGAATGCAGCAGTTTGAGAAATAAGCAAAGCCAAGCCAGTACTTTCATTTGTGCCAAAACAGGACCATCTTCACGATCATATCAGCGAATTGGCATCAAGCACTTACACAGATTAAGGGATCTGCCTGTTGAGCATGTCTTTAGGACTTCAGAGAATTCCTGGCATTATGGGAAACAGAGACATGACTTTGTTCCTGCTGTAAGGATGGGCATACCTGCTTGTGAAACAACAGCAAACAGGTCCCACCGGTAAGCTATGTGCCATGGTACAAAGTACACCAGGAAGGTTTGAGAGTGCAGGGGAGAAGGGTGTGGGGTAAAAGAGGCTTAAGGGCGAAGGCTCTTACTCCGGCAAGGACGAGAGGATGAGTTCTGCTAGGTAAAGAGGAGAGGTTGGGCACTGCAGCAAGGACACAAACGAGGGGCTGGATGACAAGTTAGAAAAGCCGGACAGCCCAGAGCCTAGTGGTCTTATCCAGTGTTCTGCTGCCCCTCAGAGGCTTCTTGGTCATTGGTGTAGAATACTCAGCAGAGGCAAAAAAAAAAAAAAAAAGGCCAGCAAAAAAAGAAAAAAGGCATTGAGATAGACAGGAACAGCATATGAAAGAAAAAAAAAAAAAGGCCACCATTCGCTGTCTCCTACCTACATGGAGGTAACTGCTGGCTTATCATGAGGTGCCCTTAACTTTACATCATCAGTGCTGTATGTAAAAATAAAATAGGGTGATCAAACCTATTGCAAAAGGACGAAGAACAACTTCTCTTTAAGGAAACTGTGCAGATGGCTGTTTTACAAAACAGATTATCAAATGCTGTCTTCATCCAACCTGCTTCATGTTGAGTTTTTGTTTTTTTTTTTTAAATCGCATCTCACTATATAAAAGTGAGCTGCAGCTGGGGACGGTGGCTCACACCTGTAATTCCAACACTTTGGGAGGCCAGTGCTGGGGGTGGGGGCGGTCACTTGAGATCAGGAGTTCAAGACCAGCCTGGACAACATGGTGAAACCCTGTCTCTACTAAAAATACATCAATTAGCCAGGCATGGTGGTGCACACTGACAGTCTCAGCTACCTGGGAGGGTGAGCCAGGAGAATTGCTTTAACCTGGGAGGCGGAGGTCGCAGGGAGCCTAGATTGCACCATGGCCCTCCAGCCTGGGTGAAAGAGCAAGACTCTGTCTCAAAAAAGTGAGCTGCACCGTATATGTCAGAAAAGCACAGCATAAAAACCTCTCATTCTCCACACCAGTGGTACTTGATCTTGGATTTAACTCCAAGAAGGACATGTTTTCAAGCTTGTGATGAGGAAGCATCTAGCCCCAAAATTACATGCCCAGCTATTTTGGGCATCTCCTGGAACCATGGCTCTGTTACTTTGCCTTCAAAATGACAGCCGACAAAAATATCTGAAAATTCCTTCTATTCTAGAAATTCATATATGGCAGGTCTCCAAGGACATGAGGCTGCTTGTTTCAAGCCAGAGAAGGTAGAGCTTCCAGACTGGAAGACAAAAATCTCTTCTTTATTCTTAATTTCTAGAAGGCAGTACGTGTGGTAAAAAGGAGAGCAAACAGGTTATTTTCTTTTACAAATTCTATCGTCTTCTGTCAGTTCCACGATTAATAAAAACAGAAACATGTCTCTTTTTTTTAGAAAAGCAGTAGTATGAAACCGCTTACTAAGACTCACTGCACAGTAAATTGATTTCCCAATGGAAGAAAGCAATCAACACCACCTTCTCAGAAAGCAAAACTAAAAAGATTGCTTCTCGTCAGTGACTATGTCAGGTTCAGCCTTCAAGAAGCCTGCCTCTGTTTGGCCGGCTTCGTGTGGTCACTGCTTATGGAAAATGCTGCACTCACCTTCTTAATTTAAAAGCATCTCACCAAATCAATGCACTGTAGCAAACCCCCAACTCAGGAGGAAGAATCTATATAAAATGCAGACTGTATTGATGACGTCTACCCTTTACTGAGTGCCCATGCACCAAGTGCTTTATGCATACTATTTCTAATCATTAAAACAACGCTGCAAGGAAATAACCATTAGGCCTATTTTACACAGAAGAGATGAAATCTGCACCTAGAATATTGTGGTTCCAACACCCTCAGGCCTAGGTGCTTTTGGTGATGTT